TTTATGGCTGAAGAGTGGTTGGCTGGATTAAACCAACTCTTAGTACTCTTTAGCTGAAGTAAGGATATCGGCTAAAGAGTGGTTGACTGGATTAAACCAACTTTTAGTACTCTTTAGCCGAAGTGAGGGGTATGGCTGAAGAGTGGTTGGCTGAAAAAAACCAACACTTATTTCTCTTCAGCCGAAGTAAGTGTATGGCTGAAGAGTGGTTGGCTGAAAAAAACCAACACTTATTTCTCTTCAGCCGAAGTAAGTGTATGGCTGAAGAGTGGTTGGCTGAAAAAAACCAACACTTATTTCTCTTCAGCCGAAGTAAGTGTATGGCTGAAGAGTGGTTGGCTGAAAAAAACCAACACTTATTTCTCTTCAGCCGAAGTAAGTGTATGGCTGAAGAGTGGTTGGCTGAAAAAAACCAACACTTATTTCTCTTCAGCCGAAGTAAGTGTATGGCTGAAGAGTGGTTGGCTGAAAAAAACCAACACTTATTTCTCTTCAGCCGAAGTAAGTGTATGGCTGAAGAGTGGTTGGCTGAAAAAAACCAACACTTATTTCTCTTCAGCCGAAGTAAGTGTATGGCTGAAGAGTGGTTGGCTGAAAAAAACCAACACTTATTTCTCTTCAGCCGAAGTAAGTGTATGGCTGAAGAGTGGTTGGCTGAAAAAAACCAACACTTATTTCTCTTCAGCCGAAGTAAGTGTATGGCTGAAGAGTGGTTGGCTGAAAAAAACCAACACTTATTTCTCTTCAGCCGAAGTAAGTGTATGGCTGAAGAGTGGTTGGCTGAAAAAAACCAACACTTATTTCTCTTCAGCCGAAGTAAGTGTATGGCTGAAGAGTGGTTGGCTGAAAAAAACCAACACTTATTTCTCTTCAGCCGAAGTAAGTGTATGGCTGAAGAGTGGTTGGCTGAAAAAAACCAACACTTATTTCTCTTCAGCCGAAGTAAGTGTATGGCTGAAGAGTGGTTGGCTGGAATAAACCAACTCTTGTTACTCTTCAGCCTAAGTAAGGGTATGGCTGAAACTGGACTGGATAGATTAAACACTTTGTACTCCTCAGCTGAAGTGATTATATCGGCTAAGCAGTGGTTGGCTAGTAAGCATATTTTAACCAGCCAAAACCGAAATAACAGCTGGAGTAATAGAAGACATTACAAAGTACAGGCATACAAATCACAACCGGAATAAGAGTTGAAGCAAATTTTTCATTCATTGAAACTATTACAAAGAAGATTCATAGTTCGGTTACAACGGCAAAAAACAACAAGGAAAAAATCAAGAAAAAAGATCTTCGATTTCGGTGTCGAAGGCAGCATCGGCGTCGACCTGAAGACCGGTTTCAGGCGCAAGGACGTTTTTAGTAGGAAGAATGGTTTCGGCCGGAGCCACAGTTTCACTTGGTTGATCAATAGTTAAATCTTCCACCATGGGCTCCGACCGAACTACTTGATCTGCATTCACAACCGGAGTATCCTCAGGGGCAGAGTCTTCATCGTCTGAGCCCTCAAGAAACTGCTGTTGCATGGCATTGGCGCATTCCATCAGGGAGTTCGGTATAAAGTAGGCTGGAGGGTTGAAAACCTCGGTCTGAGGATCATGACCGAGCTTCTCAACGGCTCCCCTCCAGCTGCACTTAAAGAACAGCTCCTTGGCAGCATTGCATTGTTGGGCATAAGCATCCTCTGCTCTCTTGAAGCCTTGTTTGTCAGCTTCCTTTGCCTTCTCCTTTATTTCGGCATCTTTCTTTCTTTCGAGCTTCACCAGCTCGCGCAGGTATTTGTCCTTAAGAGCTATGGCAGTCTTCTGCCTTTCTGCCTCAGCCGAACTAACTAGTCCGGTCAGCCTGCTGTTCTCAGCCTGAAGCTCGGCTATTTGCTTCTTGATTTCTTCTACTTCGGCCGACTTCACTTCGGCTTCTGCAACAGCATCCCTTGCCGTCTTTCTGAGTTCCAGCACCTTCTTGTGAGTATTGTAGTTTTTTTGAATTTCCTGGCAAAAAACAAGGACTCCCCATGAGCCGAAATAAAAGTTCACAAAATTAGACAGAAAAATGGACAGAACGGCATACCAGGATCATAGACTTCGTTGCAGACCGAATGGACTTTAATTCGGTGTTTAGTTGCTTCTTGTGGTGCTCCATATCCTTGGGGAGGCACACACTCTTGGCCAGACTAAAGGCCAAATCGTGATCTTTTTCGGTGACAACCGAATCAGCATCCACGACATCTCGGTTTTTAAAAGTCAATTTTGGTACCCAACTAGTGGTAGTTCGGTCGGTGGGTTCCGGTTGGGGGCTCGGTGGCAAGATTGGTGGAATAACAGTCTCATCCTCATCAACCAAACTTGGTTCAGACTCGCTGGTTTGGGCGCGCTTGGTTCGGCGCGATGAAGACGGTTGTTGAGAAGGGAGGGCCACAACAGCAGGCTGCGATTGACTTGGAGGCGTTACTTCGGGCCTAGTTGTTTCGGTGAGAAGGGCCCTAACTCTGCTCCTCTTCGCCATCTCTTCTTCAGCGGTTAGTGGGACAAGTCTTATTTCGGGCAAAGTTGGGTCCGGCTCTAGGGCTTCTTCAAGGAGAAAGTCAGTTACTCTTGCTTTTCGGCGACCGCTGTACCGGTAGGTCGGCTCAAAGTTCAGAAGCTTAGCCCAACTCCTTTCTTTAAATCGTAGTGCGGCTCGCAAAATTGCAAGGTTGGGATAGCTATATAAGGAACGGAGGTGGGCGAAATCTGCAAACAGAGAAGTGTTAGTTCGGTTAATAGACTTAAAAAAACCCGAAATAACATTCAAGGAAGAAGACCGAAGTTAAATTACCGGGCTCTCCCTTTTTCCAATTTATAGGTCGGCCAGGAATTTGGGCTTGAAAATCCTCAAAGTTCCCAGAGACCCAGAAAAAATCATCGTCGTTAAGATCTTTGTC